GCCGTCCACGCCCGGGTGAGCTCGTCATGCACCTCCGGGAAGAAAGGCACCGGGGGGGGGCACTGAGAACCAGCGCGAGTCACCCCGAGAAACCAATCGTCCAACCTCGAGGGCCCAGGACGCGGTGGAGGTTTCCACTCGAGCCCTACCCTCTAGCCGGCCCGGGAAAGCATAGCCGACGTCTCTGGATCTGATTCAGGCCTTGCCACCGTGCCGGAGGGCGGCAGCGCAGCCGAATCTTCCTCTTGATGCACAGGGGAAACAGCCGTTTGCAGCACGACAGGGGGTAGTGCAGCCTGAAGTGCGCAACCCACTCGACACAGCAACGACCACTGCTGAAGCGCCATTCTCCAACACAAAAAGCTCCCGAGAGCGCGCTAGACTGTGTGTGTGTTGTGTACTGGGATGAGAGACAGGGCTGCTCTTTTGTTTTGCTGTCAGCACAATTACAATCGTCTGCACAGCTGCATGCTGCCCACAGACACATTACCAGAGGAACTGTCTTTGTTTAGCCATGTTTAAATGCCCAACAAGCAACAAGCAGCTCATTGGTGGACATTTTTGAGGAAACGACAGAAATGGGAGATCAGATTATTGTTACTGCATTAGATATCAAAATATAAAAAAAGTGGCATCTGCAAACAAATAATCAGACACTGTTTTTAGACATTTTACAATTCCTTGTACCCATAGTATAAAAGTGATTTTAGTGAATGTATAAATCCTGACTGAAATGCTGCCCTTTTAGACTACGTTAACCAGCAGTCAACTGTAAAATATTTATTTATTTATTTATTTTTCCAAAAATAAAAGTCACTTTGTTTAATAATGGAATCATTTTTAAGTGTCTTTGGTGTCCAAATATTTTTTATGGTCAGTGTATTTGATATACATAACTTACAGTATGTATGTGAAATACTGTATTATTGCCAAATAGACACACAAAATCATATGCATGCAAAAAATACTCTTAAATCTACTTGAGGTCAGAGTAGCGGGTTAGAAAGCTGTTGTTTATCAGCACACAGAGGCTTACTGAACACAGCAGAGCACTAAGGTGAATAATCTGATCGAGCCTTCATTGTGACGTAAAATGGATGTCAGCACAAAACGTCATGTCTCATTAATGAGGATCATGGTCATCCTCTTTACACCTCATGCTAATGCACTTCAGTCTTTTATTAGTGTTATTATTGTTTATTCTTTACAACAGTGACTGACAGTTTCCAGTGCTAAACTAACTGAAATGTGTAAGATTGTGTGAGCAATTAAAATATGAAGCAAATGCAGCGCAAAGTGCTGAGTGGTTACCTGACTCTTGGTGATCATGCTTCAGATAAAGCGGCTCCATTTTAAATGCTCCAATGATGTCTGATCTTTTCTTCACCCTGCACAGAAACATTTTCCTTCATCACAGTGTAGGAGACAACAGTCAAACGACATCATTGTGCATACAGCATATATCATTATCAAATGTTCAGTAATTAATTGGTATTATTTCCGGACAGAGTAACATGTCCCTAAATGTATGCAAATGCTTTATCTGAATTTTTAAACAAAGTTAGCGCAACATACCAATCAATAAGAGACAATGAAAAACAAACTATTATTCACAGTGTTTAAAGTTTTTGTGTGTCTGTGTTGACTGTGATTTGCCATAATACTAAAATACTATGCGGAAGTGAGGTAAGGTAATAAAAGACTATTATTTCTTGAAATTAGTTGAATCAGGACAATGCCAGTCAAGTTATATTAAAAAAAATTACTAAAAGGGTATTATACATTGAGATACAATCACATTTTTCTCCACAAATTAACCTCTTTATATATATAGCACATCTATATGAATACATGCATCTATTTTATGTATTTACAGTACACTTATGGTCATTGATTAAGAAAAGTGCAGTTAGTTCTTAGAAAAGGATTTGTATTGTTTTCCGGTTCAAGGGTTCACTTTATTGCCATTCAGTCAAGGCAGGGTCATGGCGGGGGTTTCAAGATTTGAGGACACCACACATTATTTTCTTTCTAATGTGATAAATTGGCATATATTCACATATACAGTACATTTAAAAATGGCTGAAGTGTTGAAATATCTTTGGGGTCACTGTTTACATTAACGTTGAAAAGTTGGGGTTGGTAAGGTTTTGTAATATTGCAACACTTCAAATAACTTTTCCTATTTTTATATAGCTATTATATTTTATACAGCAAAGCTGATTTTTCAGCAGCCATTACTTCAGTCTTCAATGTCACATGATCCTTCAGAAATCATTCTAATATTCTGATTTGGTGCTCAATAAACATTTCTTATTATTATCAATGTTAAAAATAGTTGTGCTTCTTCTTATATTTTTCAACCATGATACATTTTTGGAGGATTCTGTGATGAAAAAAATAAAATAAAATAAACAAAAAAAAGTGTTTATTTAAAATAGAAATATTTTGTAACATTATAAATAGCTATACTTTTGATCTATTTAATGCATCTTGGCTGAATAAACATTAATTTCTTTAAAAATGTGCATACATGCTTGTCTTGTATTTTCTCTCTCTATATAACCATGCACATTTTTGTTTGCCTGGTGCTGACTTAAAGGGCAGCTGGGACCGTTTCCTCTGTTGACTGATAAAGCCAACTAATAGCATGTTGGGATACAGTAGATCAGGTCAGAGGATAAATTAAATATGATTTTTACTGATAGAGCCACTAAACACTTACCACATTGCTGAGCAGTCAAAGTTGACCAGGAGCCATTTATGAGGATTGAAATTGAAAGAGTCTGCAAACTAAAAGAGAAGCAAATTTTGATGTGATTTGTTGTGAACTGATGTATCTAACACTTACTCTTGAGAAAGGGGACAAAATATGCCACAAAATGTTCCTGCTATTGGTTAAATTAGTAACATTTCCATTCCATTACCATCAGAGACACTCTGCTGAGTTTTATAGATATTTAGTTTCTATCTTTCTTTATTGTGACCATGATATCTAAATGCAATTCAAATTGTTTGTGATTTTAAGATAATTTCCATCATTTTTAATAGGCCAGAATAGTATCTAGCAATACCAACAACAGAGGTGCCAATACAGTTGATAAAGCTAAAGTCCTGTATTTCAATTATTCATTTGTTTATTCATTAAGTGATTGCTAGATTTGTCAATATTTATAATAAAACTAGTATTTACTATTAACTAATTATTAATCATTATTAACTAATAATATACTAGTATTTACATATTCATTCATTCAGTTTTGCAGACTATTTTATCCCTTAACTCAGAAATCGGTGCTAAAATAAAGAGTGTGATTTTGGAATATGAAAATAAATGTGGCTTGCTGAAAATAAAGATGAGTCATCTGTCAGCTACCCGTTAGCATGGTCTGATATGAACTACTTTCGACTCTGACGCAATAGCATATTATGCATCAAACTCGCAATCAACTGCAGCATCTGTCCAATGAGCATTCGCAAAGAGCCACTATCTCAGAGTCAATTTTTTTTGCTCACTCTCCCCCTTCCAATATCCTTTCTATCCGACGCAATAAAGAAGGCAGACACTGCCATGACGGTTTGATTGTTGCCATGCTGAGTCCTGCCTGTCTTTCACTTCCTGGCAACCAACAAACTGCAGCCGGCTGTCATTCCGGTCAATAATAAAAAAAAAAAACATTGTCTGTGCAGGGGAGCAGTCTTCACTATTGTTTGAACTAGTGCTGCTAATAAACAGTGATATTTATTTAGCAAGGGAAAAAAGGAACTTATCTAAAGGTCTTCATATGCCTCAGGAAATTACTTTACCCTTATCATTGTGACTCCCAGCTGGGCTCCACGACAACTCAAAGGACAATCGGGGATCTCTAATATCCCGCCCATTCCACAAGACATCGCTCATGCCAGCTCGCATCATTTGTGACATTTAAATATTTTCAGTCGCACACACATGACTCCGTCCTCAACACACCACTAAAGTAACAGGATCAATAGTTTGAGCCCAGCACAGATTGCTCTTCTGTTATCATTCGCGCCTCTCAGGGCTTCAGGAGCACCATCTATGAAGTGTGCTTAATAACACACTGTGTGATTTGAATGTTATCTTACCTCTATGCCATTCAGCAGGGGTCTAAACTCTGGACAGATAAATGCACTCCCAGCATACGCAGCATCAATGTGCATCCAGATTTTCTCTGCATTACCTGAAACAATGGCAATGCTTTTATAATAATATTTAACATATATATATATTGATTTGACTGCAACCACAAATAAGCTACAAAAGAAAATAACAATAAATGGTAATCGGTCTTACATATAGGGCCGAGCTCAGTGACACAGTCGAATGCACAGGATGGAGTTGTTCCCAATGTTGCACAAAACTAAGAGAAACATCCAGAAAATAAAATAGATGGATTATTATGTGTTGATTTTAATATTTAATGTACTATTTATACAAATACGTCCGTCTAGACATTTCTTTATCCGAATCTAGAATGTTCAATGAAAAATTAATTTGAGCTATTCATTTTGATCACAAAAAGATTTGTTCCTGCTTGGTTTGTCATTACGCTGTGATTCTTTTGACACAGGTCTGCCGGCTGAGCCTGGAGCTAATTTGACTAATGTGATTCAGAAAACAGGCTCTCCAAACAGCATTAACCATCATGCAGACCGCAGGGGGATATGTTCAGAGAAAGAGCAAAGACAAATGTCCAATCTGTTCTCATTTCATGCTCTCTAACAGTCTGACTGGTTGCTATCTTTCTTCCATGATGTAGACTGATTCTGTAATTTTGCACTTGATATAGATAGTGGCAAGTTTGATGGTAAGGGTTAATCATTAAGATTTGAGAGCAAATTCTGCCACATTTCCTAGCATGATGTCAGGGTTAAAAAAATAAATAAATAAAACTACATAATTTCCAGTTGACTGGAATTTTTTCTGTCAAAAAATACTAAAAATATGAATTACTGTACTCGAAACTATTGAAAATCCCATGTCTGACCATCAGTATTCCCATATATATTGTGTTACTAATTGAAAAAATTCTAAACAAAAAAATATGTAGTTGGTTTGATGAATTAATTGGCTATATTATGCATTTCAAATGGACAAAGCAAAGTAGTGTTTCTTAGAACAATTCTTAAGGTGATCACACATTAGTTTGGGAACCAATTCTCACCATTAACTAACTATTGACTACAACTTTTGCCTCAATAAGCTCCTAATTTGCTGGTTATTGATAGTTAATAAGGTAGCTGGAATAGGCATGCTGATAAGCAACTAGTTAATAGTGAGAATTGGTCCCTAAACTAGAGTGTTACCCTTAAGACAATAGTTGTGCTGTTTAAGAGAAGCTTGTAGTTATTAGAGATGTACATACAAAAAATGGTATGAGTCCTGCGGCTCTGTCCTCTTCTAGAACTTTCTGCAGCGCATCTCCTCGCACAGAAAACTTATTGTCGGTGGGAATTTTCTTCATCCTCACTCCACCTATCAAACCTGCCCTCTCCACCGATGAGTGCGCCTGAAATATCAACAAAACACTGCCATATTATTTCTGAATTAATGATCTTGTTTCAAAAACATAACCAGTGATTCATGGTTTCCTATTAGACACACATATGCTGTAAGCACATTCATAAACAAGTGGCACTTCACCACTATACTGATACCTCAGAGACCCACTGCACGGCTCTTTCACATAGTTTGATATTTCAATTCAATGAGAATTCTTGCTAATCATCCCCAATAACAGATTCCTACTTACAGATGGGCATGATGCCATTGTCACAGTGCCTGCTGAATGGTGCGTATTATCTTGCAGGCCATTATTCTAGGCTAAATATACCTCTGAGGCAGTCTTTCATCTGGGCTTGTTGTCTTACCTGATCAGACGAGTAGGCGACTAGTTTGGATATAATGTCTGTCTCAGATCGGTCAGGATGGTCAGCCTGGATCAGTTTGACGATTTTGGAACGAGCAGCAAGAAGAGCTATGAGAGTGGCTTCACTGGCAGTGCCCTGTACAAACCAAAACACGTTATATTTATTTATACTTGATACTTTGAACATGTACACCAAATGCTGCTGTTTATGAAAATTCAAAAGCAGCCTATATTGAGCAGGTCTCACAATTGGTAGACATGTTCAATATTACTTGAGACATCATCTCCCTCATCTTAAATATCACATTGAACAAAACAACCTCGATCAATATGCCCTGATGCTGCTGATTGTAAATGCAGCAGTGATGAATTTTCATCACCTCTCCAGCTCTGTTTTGTATGTTCTCAAGGAGTGAATGAGAAGACTTCCACTCGAAACCCCTCAATACAGATCACCTCAGCTCATTGTGAAGCACGAGCTGTCTTTGATTTCCCTTCGTAAGCCTGACAGCGCACACCCACGTCCTGATTACTAATGATTCAGTTTACTTTATGAGATCATCTGGAACACTGGAGCCACACTTGTGTTTTCAATTCCAAATTCTTTGATTAAATGCCATATTCACCATATGTAACCCTATCAAGCCTACTGTATCATATTTGACATGCAAATTTCTAAGGCCTCTAAATGATCAACATGATCAAAACTTTGCTAAAAACCTGTTGTAAACAATCTACTACATGCCTTCTGTCATCTGATTGATACTTATTTAGCAAGTAAAAGGTCTTTTATTAAAATCCTTTTAATTCTAAAAACGTCCTTGTTCAGATCACAATACATCGCAATATTTTTGCTGGGAAATCTTTAAGTAAATAAAAGATTAGCTTTTATATTGTTTGTAGCATTTCGAGATGAGTGGACTGAAAATGTACTTGTATTATATTACATATAGATAATCTTTTTAGAAAAATAATGTTAAAATGCATTAAATATGATACGTCAGGCTTTTGAAGAACTTTGATTTGTATGTTTCAGTGGCATTGCATTATATGATTAGTGTGACAGCTGATTGCATTTTATGTAAGTAGTCTGCTATTCTATTCTAAAGATCTCATGGATTTACATTACAAACACTGAGAATTTTATGTTTTTAGCCATAAAAATATCAGCATCTGCACCAAATTGCATATTTTTGCTCAGTTTGATCCTCTGAATGAGACTGAGATGCTTTTGTCTCCTTTTTCCTCCTTGAGCGTGAACTACACATTCCCCTATAAGCCATAAAAACATGATGTATCAAATATGATACTCAACAAAAACATGAAAACTTCTACATGTTTAGTTATACTTTCAGAATTTTCTTCTACTTCCAACTGTTCTCCTCCCTTCTCTATTATGCCCACCTTTGCTGAGAGGCATTGCTTACAAAACCAACAGACTCCATCATTAGTGCATGCTATCAGTGAAAAAAAATGCCTGTTGCCATAGTGAGCTCTCTGAAAAGCCCAGAGACAAAAACCATTCAGTAGGAGGACACACACACTCCAAAGCGGCCTTAATGACAGAGCATCAAACCGACTATCATCAGTGGGCTTTCCATACACTGAGCTTCCTATATTTCTCTCTAAATGGTCACAGCTGTTCAACTGCTACATCCATAGTGACAAAATGATCGCGGACCGCTCTCAACGGACGCCCTCCTGACTGTCTCCTCTCATGTGTAGCTGATGTCTTAAAAGGCAATTTCTACAGGACATAACAATTTCCAGGGCCTAGAGAAGAAATCAATGACAAACAAATTGTTGTGAGGGACATGTTTTTGGTTTTTGATATTTGTTATTGGTCAAAAGAAATTGCCCGTAAACATGGATTAAGGTTGCAGAGGTGGCATTAAAGTAGTTTAAAATGTTCACATTTTGACACCGGGCACAAGATCCTGATGGGAATTCGGATATGTAATTATTTTAAAACCATATTTTCGACATTTTACACATGTTGTGGACTTCATAATATGAATGAACCTTTGTGTAACAATAGATGCTTAAAGGTAATGTGCATTCACATATTTAGACATGTCTTGAATTTAAAAATATATATTTAATATCTTATCTTCGCCAAAGACCCCCAGCAGTACATGAACCCCCTTCATTGACCCTTGGTTAAAAACCATGTATATAAGTGATACCATATAGATCTTTATATAAACTTGCAATACTTGCAGATAAAATCTTTTCTTAATTATCTCACCTGGATGACCCCTCCCCCTCTGCCCTCTGTACCAGCAAGAAAATCTTCTGGTAGCTTCAGCATCTTTCCCAGCCAGTCCAGCATCACTGTCTCCAACTCTGTACAGGCAGGACTTGCTGCCTACAAAAATAAATAAGTTAATACAATTAATTAATAAATAAATAAAAACCTGCATCACCCTACAAGATGAGAGCTTCAGATGTCATGAATGGAGGATGGATGGATGGATGGATGGAAAAGCAGATGGATACAGAATTAACAGACCAACAGGTGGCTAAATGTATGGATGGATGTATGGATAGATGGATGGATGGATGGAAAAGCAGATGGATGCAGAATTAACAGACCGACAGGTGGCTAAATGTATGTATGGATGGATGGACAGACAGGTGGTTAAACAGATAAATGCAAAAATGGACAGACAGGTTGCTAAATAAGTCAAGTCAAGTCAAGTCA